GAGCAGTCTACATTAGGTGTCTGGGTATCGAGCCGACGCAGTCTAAGACCCTTGGTCGTGCAAGTTAAAGGCACCAAGACGTCGTGCCTGCAAGAGGTACGCGTCTCCCATGTTACGAGCGCAAGACGCCGAAGCTGCAGCGATAATTCCATGCCGAGGACTGAAGGCCGCAAATAAAACACCAACGGGAATACGAACCATGTCGAGGCTTCGCAAACGCTCTGGCCGTCACTAGTTACAGTGGTACCTGCCCTGCTGGATCTCCGCACTTCTGTCGGAGATGGCTGATCTCCGCAGGTGAGAGGTCTAGGCCGCAGGAACGAAGAAGCTTCTTCAACTCGAGGCCACCGATTACAGTCTTCTGCCTCCTTGATCGTTCACGGAATTTGGCATTTTTGTTGTTGTTGTTGTGATGTTTGTGATTGTCGCTTGTGCAGCTGTTGTCGCTGCTACCATCATGAGGTTTTTACACGCAGATCGGGTTGATGGCATGCATAAGCGCAGCTGTTGGTTTTTCTCGCCGTCATCTACTGTACGAAGTGAAGCAGCAGCAGTGGTCCAAGCGGTCACAGCACGAAAATCTGCATTGTTCGCACAGGAACCAGGTCTCTTACTCCCCTCCCGTCTTAATCTACTATCCCTCCCCCACTGCCTCTCACTTGGCGACTCGTTGCTGGAGCTTCCTTCTCAGGGAAGCCACCTCCGGTTCCCGTGTCCTTAAAGCCCGAATGGTGAAGGTCGCCGGGCCGTCGACACTTGCCACCCCGGGGCTGATCGTCAAGTTTCTCCTCGATGGCGACAACGATGAGGATGGTGCCCGGTAGGCCGTGTTTCTGCTCGGCGTAGTCGCTGTCAGCGCAGCCTCTGTTCCCGATCTAGGTTCGTAAGGAACAGTGTTTGCAGCAGGGATGATCAAGAGCGCGACGGATGATCCGGCTTCTGCGTTTGATAATGAAAAACAATTGGGGGCATTAGAGATGTTCACGATCACTGGCAGGTATCAATTTTGGAGGGGTAGAGGGGTTCAACGGTGTGCACCTTGTACGACCCACCAGCCCGGCTCCTCCTTGTCTGGTTCTAGAAACAAAAAAAACTCGAAATATTGGGGGTTGGTTTGGACACGATGGGGCTGTGTTGGTTTCAGTGGCGTGGCTACTCACGCGAATATTCACGGCACAATAGGGCTGGCTGTGGTCGATCTCACGATGCCGTCAAGAGGGTCGCCGCCACGTCGTGGGCGTGTTTCAGGTGGGCGAGAATCTCGTGTATCGGATACTCTGATCAGCGCTAGAAAACGAGTTATCCGGGCTGTTTCTGTGTAAAACGTATGTGAGCACACACCATGTCGACCGCGCACGATATGTGAGCATGTACTACCATCGGAAACAAGAACGAAGAGCAGAGCGAACCTCTACGGCGACCACGTCGAAATGGATGCCGGCACCACTGATCTGTCGAGAAACGAAAGGGTTTTACCTCCGGAGGATGAAGTTGGCGAAACGATCGTGGTCTATCATGCCGCTGCCCCTCTTGTCGAAGAACTCGAAGATAGTGGCTACCTGTAAGCGCCAAGTTCGAGAGCAGTCAATAATAGTGACGCTAAAAACATATCGGAGAGCTATTGCCCGTGCTGGTCTACTTAGGGGAGTGCGGGAAAGACAAAGTGTGCGTAGCCATGCACCATGCACCACAAGAAGATTCGGTAGGCGAACATCCTTAAATGTTCTGATTTGTAGCATCTTTAATTGTTCTGATTTTTCGACAGGCTTGGACATGCATTGAACGATTCTTCGTTGACTAGTAATTTGTATTTTTCATGCTCCCTCTATACATTCCGAGCGATCTTTGTCCATCCAATTCTTGGAGCGAGCTACTGATGCCAATCCTTTACAAACGCTCCGATACACCCTACCACCCTAGACGCAACTTCTCTAACGGTGGTATGGTCTGAACCTGACCATAACCAGACAAATATTGATTATCGCTTTGACGTGGAGGGCGGTCGCTGCCTCTAATATAGCATCCGAAAGCGAGGGGGGCACACCGCTTCAAACGATTGCAGTACCCTGTGCGACGATGAAACGACAAGCGTTGCCTTCTCTCCGCTTGGAACAGACGCATGTACCAAAATTGATGTATGACGTGAAAACGCCTGTCGACTTAGTTCAAGTCGGCCGGTGCTCGAGGGCCACCACGGCTTCACAACTCGTCCCGTCTCACCTCCATGGACGAGATTGGCGCCCCGGCGTTTTCCAGCGCCAGACGAAACTCGCCCTGGCTCAGCCGGCCGCTTTCGTTCATTGTTGATTCATTTATCCAGGAACGAAAGTGTCGGTGTTGCATGCGTGAGGCCAGAAGAAAGAAAGCATGTACAGATGACGGAAGATCAATTACTTGGGTGGCAGTGGGTCAGGACAATGAGGTGCTGGTGGAAGAGAACTTGAGTTTCACGGTGGACCCATGGGTAGGGTGGGGGACCATACACTCTACAAACACCCGCTCAATTTGCAAACGGCATCGAGTATACGGACATATTAGCCCTATCTTGTTGCCGAGGTACTCTCAACTAAGAAGTCCTGTTATCTGGCTTTACGTGCTTTCCGCTACACCAACATCCTCCTAGATATCATATCGTCCACACCAACTTGAAACTTGTTGAAACTGCCGGTTTCTTTCTCTATCCGCTGGATAAAAACATCCACTTTCAGACTTTCTCACCTTCTCGTGAGGTCTTGCCCCCGCAACGCCGAACGCAGGGCCACGCCCCCCTCGGCGACGCCGCCGTTCTCATCGAAGACCCCGTCCAAAAGCCTCTCCAACAGCTTCGGCAATGCAGCCGAAGACCCTGAAACCGCCACCACAATCAGACATTCATCGTGAATAGGTTGGCTCGAGGCGCAAAGCAGCCGAAGACCCTGAAACCGACATCACAATCAGACATCCGTCGTGCATAGGTTGGCTCGAGGTGTCTTCAGACAGGAGGGCCGGGTTTCAAAACCGAAATATCACACACGTGTTTCCAGGGTCACCAGAGCATGTGTCTTCACAAGCTTCGACATGAGCACCATTGGCGGCAGAATGAACAGGTGTCTATGTGCTGTTGATTCAGGGCAGTTTCTTCCTCGTGCCATCACTCCCAAGTCATGTATCACGAGATACACCCGTGTAGCCCACCGGGGTGCAAGACCCTTGTCGGCCAGAATGGAGAGTGTTCCTCCGGACTGGTTAGCGCATGTTTGCCGGAAATGGACTTTCTTCCTCGGTAATTGCCATCCGAGTGCCAGACCGGTGCGCGTGCTTCATTGGCGACAAAACAGCTTTGATTTTTGGGCACCTAGGACGGGGAACCTCAGCTCGAGTGTCCGAAATATTGTAGAGGTTTTAGCTCAAAGTTGAAACTTGCTCGTACTCTTGTCTCTACCAGAACCTTCCGGTGTAAGATACCAGGTCGGGGGCGGGGGGGGGGGGGCGTGCATGCCGTAGTCGTTAGACCATTGACCTCGCATCCCTACAAAGCCGGGACGGAGCACGCCGGGTTCTCACCGGACCAGGCTCTCACATCACCAAGCGCGAAGCGCCGTGAGATATTCGGCGAGTCGCATGAAGGGTGCGCTGCATCCTGCTAAGGGTGTTCGGCATCTTGTGCTTACTTCCTTGCGTACGGATGACAGCTGCGTATGAATTAATTTATTTTCTGGTGCTTTCACTTCCAGAGACAGTTGTAAGCACTGTGTAACTGCCTCGAGGGTGCTTGACCATTTTAACACAACGTGGTGCGATCATCCCCCTTGCGCGGAGTGAGGGTTCACCCCGCACAACATGATCTACTCAACCATCATTATGGTTACCGCCCAAAAAAAATAAACGGAGGAAAAAAAAAAAAACGGTAACCTGGTTGCCGAGTTCACGAAGTGAATTGGCTTGTTTTACAACGTCGTTGCCAAGCGACGAAAACCCAATCCCGATGGCAAACACCGGGGGGGGCGGCTTGTTCTACAAAGTCGTTGCCAAGCGACGAAAACCCAATCCCGATGGCAAACACC